CTCAAAGGTAAATGATTGCAAGCCCCCTGAGCCCCTGACCCCCCCTGCAATCATTTCGCACCGGAGCCCCGAAATCCTACAAGACCCTTAGGAATCCAATATTGAGGTGGGCCTAGGGAATATCCATTATAGCCCTTTGCTAAGACCTGGAGCACCGAAAAATAAATGATTGCAAGCCCCCTGAGCCCCTGACCCCCCCTGCAATCATTTCTCACGGAGCCCCGAAATCCGAGAAGACCCTTAGGAATCCAATATTGAGGTGCCCAAAAAAATAAATGATTGCAAGCCCCCTGAGCCCCTGACCCCCCCTGCAATCATTTCTCACGGGAGCCCCGAAACACTCGAACGCTCTGGAATCCTATGATGTCCTATGACTCTGTAACACGCCGGACGTAGGTTTCTGCATAATCAGAGAAGCTGTGAGGGATCTTGAAGTTGTTAGCAGGACTCACACCTATATAAGCCACCACTTCACAGATATCCACAAGATTCCACAAACAAATGCCTGGACCCATGCAACCAGGAACCACCTGGTGAGATTTGTCTTCCAACAGCACATGCTCAGCAATCTTCAGGTACGCGGAATTCTTCAAGACGACGAGCGGGTCCTGTCCGAAGAAGCAGCAAGCGTCTGAACAATTGTTGGGCGTTTGCTTGAGGCCGCATGCCCCTAAATTTTGGGGGGCAGGCTCTTAAATGCTGATTTTCCTGTGAGGATCTTTGGAATTCCTGATTCTCGACCTCATTTATTAGGCCCCCTAATGGATTCTAATAGAAATCCCTACCGGCCCCCACATATGAGGTCAGGCATGGCTTCCGAAGCCAAATCTGGCTCTGAGAACCGGGCCATTATAATGTTTAAATACGGAGGCCCCCTGCACCCTCTATACCCTCTAAACCCTATCCCTGTAACCCTATAGCGCAAGAACCCTCTGTAGACAATCTACGAATATCTTACAATGTGGCTACCCTACAAACTGCTTAGATCCGCTTAGGATACCTTGTCTTGTCGAAAGTTCATGCACTCAGCACAACCCTAACCTGACGCAACGTGTCCTTTGGGATCAATCTTGTCTTGTCTTCTGTCGACAAAGCCGAGAACTCTGACAGAGAGCCACCAAACATAACCACGGCACCAAGACCCTGCAAGAACGGCTCCCAGTACTGCCGCTGCTCTTGCCAAGCCAGCCTTACAGCTTTGCTTTAATAATCTCTAGGAGAATGGGGATTTGCTGTTGGGTATTTGTGGGTCCGAAACCACGGGGCATTTGACCCTCACAACCCCTCCAAAAGTGGTGCTCAAAGAAATGACTTGATACCTGACAACGCAGTACTTGGGAATACAAGCAGCCTGTACACCCCCACGTGCCCAGGTGGATGATTCTGCTCGTCGTTGAAGGCTACATGCGGGCTGTTCACTGCAGAAAGCACAGGGTCATGCATAAGCTCTGCCAAGCACTGCGGCATCCCTGGCGTCTCCAACTTCACCTGCAAGGCACGCCAGTACGTGGTGGTGGTGGTAGTGGTAGTAG